CAGGAGTGCAGAGAGCAACAAGGACACTCACTACTCCTCCTCAACAAACACACACACACACACACACACACACACACACACACACACACACACACACACACACACACACACACACACACACACACACACACACAACAGGAACACATACATGCACTCGCTGCTCCAGACAATCAAGAGACAGGGCATGTCCAGCGCGATGTGACGATGTGAATGTGTTGCATCAGTCTCAGCAGAAAAAATAGTAATCATATTGCCGGCGTGTTGTCATGGATACACGTTTCCACCAGTAGAATTAGTGCAGTAAAGCGTTGAGGCCTGAGCTGATCACCGGAGTGCGTTTTTTTCTCCCTCTCACATCCTTCGCACTGCTGCTAACAGACACCTGCCTGCGTAGCGGTACGCTTTTCTCCGCCATACATTTTTTAAAACACCTAGAGCCACAGCAAGCCCAGAAACAAACACAGGCAGAAGGCAGTGGAGCCCCCCCCCCGGCTGCTGAGATCTCTCCCTAAATATAGCACAGCTCAAGTGCAGCTGCATTAGCATCACAAGTTTCATTACTGCTCACTTTGAGTACGTCTGCAGCCTTCAGTGAGGGAGAGATAAGTGCTCAGATGTTGCCGAGGTCCCCTCTCCTTACACAGCTCAGGAACTGCTATTGCACACACAGGAACATTATTTTTGAAAAGTTGTGGTAATGTGTCGTCATAGGACAGTTGGATATCTACAGTTGAGTAGCCCAAGACAGCTGTTCACCTCATCAGGTGTATTTTCTTCCTCACTGCTGTCTCTTGCTAGTCATCATGACTGTCAGCGCTTTGAGCAAACCAACAGACGGTTATCTGCGTAGTGTCTCTGATATTTTTCACAACTCACCACTGTCTGTGCTTCCTCTGGAATATTCATGCCTCGCCTCTTCAGGGTTTCAGCAGGTTCTTCAGATGTTTTAAACGAGTTGTTTAGCCATTTAAAGGGCTTTAGGCTATATACTGTATTTTGTTTATTTCTCACTGTCAACAAATAATGGAAAATCAAAATCTCACTATATATGTCTGTCTTTCCAACTTCCTATCTGTTGTATTCCATTTGCTTATTCTGAATTACAAATCTATAAAACGTTGTCACCATTACAGTAGGGCGGCTTTTTTTCAACTAGCAATTGATTCACTGTTTTTGCGAGGGTGTTTGTGTGCCGATTTAGCTGGGACATGTGCTCGAACACACAAGTTTGCTTTGTTCCACAAGCTCTCTAAGCTTTTAGGCATAATAAATGAAAAGAAACAAACTCAGAATATGTCAGGAAAGGATCTTATTTTTCTTATTAAACTGAAAGATAGACCCTTACGCCATCTGAATCAAGTTTCTCCCCTTTCACTGAACTAACTGGTATTAATGTCCTTGTTAACTATCTGTAAACACATTTATTTTCAACTTAACAAAAACCTAAACACTGTTCCTACGATAAAAGACTACTGTTTGGAGTTTGCACAAATCCCTACGATTAGGTTAGATGTGTTGTAGAAAAAAAATGGAGAATATAAAATGCCGTCCAGTCCAGCACCATCCTTGACAATGAGAAAAACATACTTGTAAACAATGCCAAGATATACAGACGACCGGTTTAACGGTTTATTTCAATTTTAATTTCAACCCTTACACAGTGATCTTTGTCTGAGGCAGGGTTGGAAAGTAAAGCAGATCAAATAGTAATTATGTATTTGACCGCAGATGTGGGTGGAAGCTGTGAAGAGCGTTAATTCTGCACTCCCACTATGTGACATTCTGACTCATGTATCTTCACTGTTACATTAACATAATGCAGGTTAAATACAGCCATGACTCTATAAATACATTTCCTGTTTTTGTTCTAATCAGGCCCTGAACCTTCATGTGTTACGTAGAGTATTGTTTTTTATCATTCATTTTGACTTTTTGTCCAATTCAAGTAAACACTGACAAATATTTAGTTTGTTTAGAGTTGCACCAACCACTTTGTTTTAATAACACCTATACATTCAAACTGTTTTGATATACATTTCTGGTTTTGTGCATTTAGTTTTTTGTTTCTTAAACACTATTTCTTACTATGTACTTTCCCTCACGATAAAAATGCTTTGCGGATATACCAGTATTGCGGAATATGTCAGCTGATGAGTAACAAGAAATTGCGGTAAAGAAATGCAAAACTAGTTTCAGGGTTAGAAACAGCGGCTCAAAATGTCACGTGTCTTGGTAACGATTCTTTCAAAATACATATATTAAAAGAGTCTTTTGTACGACTTTTTGTCGCTAGGATTACCGAAAAACATCTGGAAATGTTAATGAAATCAGAAAACAACCTGTTACATTTTTCACTTGTGGAAATGACCTTGGTAGAAATCTGCATTCTCCAAGTGTCCTTCTAGTTGATCTCTTTGGGTAAGAAGTCGTCAAATATATTGATCAACATTGATCTCATTATCTGTCTTAAAAGTCTGGACTCGATTGCTGGTGTGTCCTTGAGTTGTGCTAGTATATCTGATTGTCAAATAAGGATTTAAGCAAAATTGTGTATTTATACCTTTTACGATCACACATCATAGGGCTATTTCTGGTCCTGCCCGTTTTAAGTGAGCAACTTCTGGTGTGTAAAAGATTTGAAAAAGTCTCACTTCCTCTTTAAGTTCCCCATGCAAACAACAACAGAAACTGCCAATAGTAAGAAGTGCAAAGGTTGGTGATGGTCATGTGACACTGAAATCTGCACTCAATAGACCGTCTGCAACAGTGTGAGCATCACATCCAGGATATGTTTAAATTTCCTTCACTGTCGAGCTCTCCAACATCTCCATTTGAAATTAGCCATAGCTGGTGAATGGTTAGCTATAAATAGACCTTGTTAATACTTGATGATAAAAGTATAAATGGAAACTGGACATTGCTGCAGCAGAGTCTGGCCAGTTTAATGCAACCAGGATAGACCTTTTATGTGAAATACCGCAGTCAGGGGAGGAGGAAATATAACAGTTTATAATTATAATTATACATATAAATGAAACTTAGAATGAACCATGAGCTAATACGCTGATTCCCAAAGTAGATATATCCAAAAATGCAGTAGTGATGGCATTAGCAGTTCTAGGTTTTTGTAATACTTGTTTGTTGAAGTATTTAGAGTATTGGTGCCTGTCGTAGCAGCAGTTATGGTAGTAGTAACAGTAGAAGTAACACAGTAGTAGTGTTAGTACTCATAGAAGTAGAGGCTTTCAGCTGTATTGTAATCTGATGGTATAAACCTATGTTGTTATCTGTTATGATTGTGAGAAAATGTTTCATTATAAACTCTTGTTTTACGCATTTTTGCTTTTCTGAGGAATTGTATGTATCTCCAAAATGTCAGCTTTTTATTAGCTAAACAAATGGCCCTTTTTCTGCTTTGTGACAATTCATCAACATGTGTTTTATATGAGTTATATGTAGTTGTAGTATATGAA